TAATCGGCCCGCACCCGCGCGCCCAGGTAAGCGACCCTTAACTAAAGACGGGTTCTAGTTTGGCAGGGTTGAGTCTCGGCTCCAAAAGGTCAAAGAACATTTTAGAGCTACGTGATTGAGTAGAAAGGTAAGACGTAGGGTGCCATTGCGTTCAGTCTGAGCTTTCTGGGCCATCGAAACTTGGCACGCTCAGGGAACTCAACCAGGTTTGCACGGGTGCTCTGGTAAGACCCCCAACCAGGTTTGTACAGGTGCTCTGGTGAGGCCCTCATCCAGAACGGCCGTGGAATCAACTCATGACTGACGGCCGCGCGGTGAGACGAGGTCCTGCAAGACTGCAGGACTTTGCCCTGATTGTGGACAGGGAGTGTGGGAGAGACGAAATGTGGGTGACAAAAGTGTGGGTCCAAGACCAGGTGTTTGTCTAGACAATGTCGCGATTTTTCCTGACTCGCGCCCGGTCCTTCTCTTGGTCTTGGCTCTGCTCTGGGCCTTTTTCGGAGTTGGCATTTTTCGGAGTTGTGTTTGGTCTTGCCTCACTGTGCCTGTCTGATGGACTGAGTCAGTTCCCAGAATGCCTTAGTCCAGCTCCTTGCCCACATAAGCTTCTGCTCCGCGCCCAGCTCTGAGTCCAGCTCCTGCTCCGTGCACAGCACTGGGTCCAGCCCCCGGTTTGGGTCCAAAGTTGGGTCTGTGTCCAGCTCTATGCACAGCCCCGGGTCTGGTCCAGTATCTATGTTCAGCCCTGGTCGGTGTTCACGTTTGGGTCTGGGTGTGGCTCCAGGTTTTGCCTCGGCTCCGTGTCGAGTTCCCGCTCCGTGTCCAGCCCTGGGTCTGGGTCCGGCTCTGACGCTGAGTGCGGTTTGTGTCCACCTGCGGTTCCAGCTCCGGTTCCGGGTCCATCACCGCCCTCGTGTCCAGCCCTGGGCCTGGGTCCGGCTCTGACGCTGAGTGCGGTTTGTGTCCAGCCGCGGTTCCAGCTCCGGTTCCGGGTCCATCACCGCCCTCGTGTCCAGCTCTGGGTCTGGCCCGTGTTCCGTGTCCAGCTTTGACCCGTGTCCAGACGTCCCGGAAGCGCGCTGCCGGCCGAGCCGCCCCGCCCTCCCGATAATCGCGTGACAAGTGACCTATTAGCCCGATGGAATACACGCGGCCCCCGTGACCGGCATGTGTCCCTGCACTTAGCAGATTTGCAGAGGCTTTGTTGTGCGGAGTGGTCGCGCTGTTACCCACCCTAATGACGATCGGTGGCTCTTGGTCTGGTGTGCGCAAACGCGTATGTCTTCATACCGGGGGTGATTTACTGAGCGAGCCTCACGCGTTCATTACGGCGAATTCGCACTAAATAATGATCATCAGATACCTTTCATTTATGGGAAATCGTATTTCCTTTATTGGATTATTAACAGGAGTGCATCCCAGTTGTAATGGTGGCTACAAACTTGCCCATCGTGATTGGATATGAACATGAAAACTGGATAACGTTACCAAAGCAGCGCGGTAGAACATTAGGAGTGAGAGCGAAGATGTAGATGGCCTGGGTGTGAGAGTGAGCTGTACCACCTGGGTACCACCAGTCATGACTGTGTGACGCTCAGCACCTATAGGCTCGGCTAGGGCGGTATGCTGAGAGTTGGTTTCGTAGAATGATCCGAAACCTACATCAAAGCGTTTGTATGATATTTTCGACGGCGTCGCCTATTTGCAACATCGCCCCATAACGGAGCTGGGGCGCAAAGACCAACACCCGTCCGCAGCAGGTGTGACATCTGACGTCACGTGACGGAGTGCAACAGCTGGCACCAGCTTCCGGCACCTTCCCCGGTCATGTTATCCGTGTTGGGACCGGACTGGGCGCGCCGGCCCGGCCCGGCGCTACATCCCCACGGACGGCCGGACAGCGGACTGCTGTAACTGGCCCGACTCGCACAATTGGCAGACAAACGAGCGGCAGGCTCGTAGGAAAACAGCCGACCGGGCGCCGCCGCCGCCGCCGAAGGAGGCGCCCGGCAGCACGGGCGCATCTGGTGAGGGAGTTCTGGCTGCGCCGGCCGGCGACTGCTGAAGATTGGTGGCAGCAGAGTACGACAGCGAGCCGGTCCGACAACGGACGGCTCGCAGCCCCGGGCGCGTGTCCCCAGAAGCTGCGTCAGACATTCGCTTGCCGAAGGTCCCTTGCTGAGCGGAACTTTGAGCGGCCTCTTTGCTCGCTGCCAGAGAACTTCCCAGGTGCCAATTACGAAGTTGGATTAAAAACAAGACGAGAATGGGACGGAATGCCTTTTTAGATGTGAAGTATGTGCGCTCGCTTGACGTGCACCTGGGATTATTGCAACTTTTAGGTGTGGAGTGTTGGGAAGCCGAGCCGCGCGAGCATAGCAATTAGCGCAGTCAACATTGCACGCGAAGACGCGCCAGTGCAGGAAATCATCCAACCACTCGTCACTGGCGCGGAATCCATGCATCGAAGCAAAGCACTTCGATGCTGCCGCTGGCCCCGTCAGTGACGGGCACTGGCGGACTTCAGTGGGCGTGACGAGCGCAGCGGGAGGGGGATCGGCACGGAGCTGACAAACGTCCAGGGGCGTCGCCAGGACTGGACACGTGGGGAGAGAGGCAGCTGAAGACCATGCGGTCGACCCTGGCACTCGAAGAGCGGGGAAATTGACGCTTTTAGGGCCAGGCCGCTGGAACGATGTGATCTTCTATTCCATCAGCGACCAAGCAGGACTTCAGAAAAGGGAGACGGCACTCCGCTCATTGACGACCGCCCTGTCAGCCCTCGCCCTGATTCGCCGTTTTTCATAACGGAGACCAATGGGGGGAATCGATATGACCTTCCTGGTGTTTCCAAAGTATTGAAGATAAAGCTTAGTGAAAACGCTAGTGGATTGACCCCCAACAAGATCTCACGACTTATATTATTGTTATGTTTCTAGGTCAATAAGTGACTCACTATGTCAGGTCAAAAGGCTCCATTTTCCTGAAAATGGTACTTTTTAAGCTTCAAAACACCATACATACGAGACCATGCTTTGTGGCGACACGAAACTTGTACAGAAGTTTCTTTTGGTTCATTCAAAGCGCAACGGAGCATACTTTTATTTGCTTTGAGCACATATTTGTGATATATGGCTCCATTAATGTGACAATGTCGGCCCGCCGGCGCGTTCCACGGCATCGTCTGGTGCGACCCACCGCCCGCGCAGGCCAGAGATCACCGTGCAGTGTTCCTCAAAGCCTGCTTTGTAACCAGAAAACCTAGAAACACGTTTTTGGCGTCCAAACACGCGCAATGGGTTTCGCTAGGATACTCAAAATGTGGACGCCATCTCACAACATACGTGAGAGACATCCTCAAAAATATCTTAGGGGGTCGCATCGACCCTCTCAAGGCGACAGTTAACATCTCATTCAGTGCTTCAGAGCTGGCATTATCATAATGAAAAATTGCATGAATATCAGCACAAAACAAGCCAATCACTGCGCGCTAAATTCACGAGTGGAAGGTTATCAGTGCAGGTACCATGGAAGCTAAGACTGCAGTCTGAAGCCCCGCACGGAGATGAGCGGCGGGTGACGCTCCAAGTGGCAGCTTTGGTCGCCTGATGAAGCCGTCTTGCGGCGCTGTGTCCCGCGCTCACGGGTTGAGGCCGGGTCGTGCGACGCTGCCGGCGGCGCTCCTCCCGCCGTTGAGTCCGACCCGGCCCGGAGGCGGCCGCCGGCCGAAATGAGGCAGCTGCTTCGGAAGTAGCTTGCTGGAATTGTGTCCGCGGGCCGGGCCGGGCTGGCCCACGCGCTCGGTCGATGGGATTGTTTTGTGGCCGGCGGCGGTGTCGGTGGGAACGGCTGCCACAGCTCTGTCACTGCCATCGGCGCCCTGCCGACTGGACAGTCTGGGCCCGTACAGCGGCTGGTCTGGGCGGAACGGCACCCGTCAGCCATCAGCCAGCAGCCATCAACCAGCAGCCGACAGTCAGACAGCGGCCAGGGGACAGCTCAGGAGGGGTGGTTAAGTGCGGGTGGGGGGGGGGGAGTGACCCATGATAAGGCGTTTCGAAGCCCCGCAAGAGCTTTTGGGAAAGGATACTCCTCTTTCGAAGCGGACGCCTTGGTAAAGTGCGCGCGGCCCGCCGCCGTCGCCTCCGCCGTCGCCGCCGCCGCCGCCGCCCCCGCTGGCCCCTGGCCTGGCCTCGGCTCGTAACGCCGAGAGCTGGAGCGGAGGACGGCTGGCAGCGGGGTTCTCTGCCGTCGTTTATCGCATCCCGACGGCGACACGGCGAGCGGCGATGGCGCCATCAGCCCGCCGGGGTGTCGGCCTCACGCTGGAGACACGCGGCCTGGACGTCAACTGCCGACGGGAGGCGCCTTTGTTGTATAAATCGTGTGTCTCGCAGGGCGGGGTGCCTGACGCATTGGATGATTTCGGGTTCCTGTTCTCAGCGGGTTGTTGCAGTTATTTGGCGCTGTGCAGGGGATAACCACACAAAGCGTGAATTGCCCAAAGCAATGCAATAAATCAAGCATAAATAAAGGGGCATGTGCGCTGTATTACCCGTCTGGTGCGTCTCAGGTGATTGAGATGAGGTTTGTAAAGCCGATCGAGCCCCACCAGCCCACTTATAAGACTCATCTTGTCATTCGAGCAGCTTGCACATTATGGAAAAGTGGTTGGAAGTCTTGATGGCTGGAGGAGGCTGTCACATTGGCTCCACTATGCCGAAGGTGGGAGCGAGCCAATTTAAGGCTTGAGCGACCGAGCGACTGATTGCGCGGCTTGGCCAGAGCGCTGCGGTGGGCCGGACCGTGCCAACCAACTGTGTGCCAGCTGATCCGCGTCGCCGGGTTGTTCAGTCGCGGCGGCCATGATGCAGCTGGCACCTTGAGCCAGCGTATTGCCATGCCCGGTCTGCAACGGCGTGTTCCACGTGCGCGCGGAAGACGAGGCTGAGTTGATACGCCCTGGTCTGTCACCTGCCTACCCGGCACGTATCCCACAGACGAGGAGGACATGTTCATGGTGACGGACCTGCTGCTAGGGGGCGACCTACGCTACCACCTGTCTCAGGGCGTCACCTACTCGGAGGCCAGCGTCAAGCTCTACCTCTGCCAGCTATCGCTCGCACTCGACTACCTCCGCTCGAAGCGCATCATCCACAGGTGGGTCTCAGGTGGTTACCGCCGCTTGCCCGAGGTCATCACCGCTTGTAGGTCGATTGCGTGATTTTGCGCTGTTCGCGCAGGTCACCACCGCTCTGAAGGTGGCTACAAGGCTGTACAACCAGCGTAGCCAGTGGCTGACTGCAGTGGTATTACACATTCATGCGACGGACGCATTCAAAAGTTTTCTTGAAGGTCATTTACGCCTGGTAAAGTCATCAGGGACAGGCCAGTCGTAGCCATAAGGCTGACGTGTATATCAGTGAAAAGCTATAGTTTTATGGTTTCATGGTTTATTTGTAAGTTAATAGTTTTAACTGGTTCCTTTGAGCTTATTGTCCACGCGGAATTCACGTTAGTCGTTAAGTGCATTCGCGAGGAACATTATTTACGTAGATAAGACAGTAGTAATAGCCTTCGGAGAAAACCAGGAGAATGGAGATATGGATGTGTCGATATTTTGGCGCATGTCTTGATCAAAACAATAGCAGAAGTGCCAATCAATGCCGCTAAATTGTTTCCCATTGTTTCGATAAAGGCATGTTACCGGAATATCAGTACATCTATATCTCCGCTCTCCTGTTTTTTTTTTCTCCGAGAAATAAGGCTATTGCTGCTGCATTATCAGCCCGGAATTTACACAAAGTTGAGTTGAAAACGTATAGATCATGCTGCACAGCCGAAAAACACCCGGGCCGGGGCTCACCTTTTGAACCATTACAATCGGACCCCAAGAACAAAGTGAGGTAGGTCGACAGTGAAGGTGGATGCTTGGGCTTTACCCGGCTCGGCTGCTTTATTGATTGAATGCCGCTAAATCACAGGAGGGATTTCCACATCAGTGGAACATGACGTGGCGCATGGTCAAACGTATGGGTTGGTGCCAAAACAAAAACGATTATTTTCCGTGTTCTACCTGCAAACGTTGGTTGAGAAGGCACGACGTTTTTGACGGTTTTGGGCAGAAGCGCTCCACTTTTTGCTTATGTGTCTAATGTACACACGTGCTTCAATGATTTATCTTCGTAGCCGGTATGATTCGACGTACGGTAGCACACATCATTACCATCACTGCTACACTATTAAAGGAAATGTTCCACATTTTTCTAGGGTTCTGAACTAAAATAGCCATCTCGGAGACCATTCGGTGCAGTTCACAGCCCTGCCCTACTTAAGACCTAAACTCATCTAGTTTCTGAGACTAGCGCGAGGATGTACGGACTTTTTCGGGGAGACAATTTCAAGGTCACCCAAGCATCCATTACCCCATAGTAACGCCCTTCAAACCCAGACATTTCATTGGTCATGCGGCGATGGAGGCCAATAAAAATATCATTGTCGAGTCGTTCATACCTGACGTTAGTGAGCACGATTTCCAACCATAAGGACCGTCAATACGCTCTCAATCCATGCTGTGAAAGGTGCAATGACGTAATCGCACGGCGGATTGAGGAGCATATTCACAAAACAGATAAAGTGTGTTTTCTAGACCAACGTTTTCCACTAAAAATGTACCAATAGTAATAAGCGAGCTTATCTGATCATATCTCATGCTTGCTTCAATACCTTCAAACGCGAAACATTCCCTTTGATGGTGCCGGTACCCCTCGGCTTTGCCCTAGCCTGGCGCAACATTCGGAGCCATTTATCCTTTGGCTCGCCAAGTAGTCTTGTAGTTAGCAGTAAATGTCCTCACAATTTTCCAAAATGTTGCAGTAATTTGCTGAACTGTTTAAAGCTGCCGTTTTACGGTGACGTTGATAGTATTCCACTGCTTTTATGGGAGTGTTATGTGACTCTATGGAGTCGTTTCTGTGTTAGGAAAGAAGACACATAGCCAGCTCCTAACAAGCTGCAGACATGGCATCCATTATACTGAGATGCGCCCGTAAAGACGGAGAATAGGTGTGGAACGCTGTACGTACGAAGAACGACGTCTGTGGTCCTCCAATGAATATCAGTGTGCAATGTACATGTTCCGGAACCGAGTTCTTCGTCCCTGTGTTCGCGCGGGAACTCCTGGGAGCTCAGCGAATCGAGCTAAGGCTTCAGCTCGTTAACGGCACTAATAGTCCCTGCCAATTTCCGGTGTAAAACCACTCTGATGAAAAGACGAGCAACGAGGCACGTCCGCCGATTTGAGAAGAAGGGCTGGTAAACGGAAATGATAGCTTTTGCTATGCCTCGCTGCATACTGCACGATTATAGCTAGAAACGACAAAAGTCATGAAGGACAAGCAGAGCTAGAGAGGACCAACATTCGTCGTAGAAAGCCATGTGTCATTTGCCATAGCTTAAATCGTCGTTGTTCGCCAAAAAGCGGAAGGGCGGTAAATGTGGCTTCGGATAGGAAATAGTAGTATCGGACAGCGAAGGATCCGAAAGATTGTGTCGACTGGGACTTTCGTGCGACTTTGTGGAGTTCAACGGGCGGATTTCAGCCCATAGCCACCGGATAACTGCGTGAAAAGGGCACGGAAGCTCCTCGAATTAGGAACCAGCTGCACGAGCAACGTTTCGAGCAATTTCATTGTTCCCAAGGCAGCAAATCATTGTAGAATTTAAGTGACTGGACGAGGAGCTATCGAGACACAGGTGTGCGATCAGAGGGTCGAGCCAGCTCCGGAGGTCCACTTTTGCCGAGGGGCTGGCTGCTCGAAATATGTCAAGTCTGCCTCGGGCGAAAACTGTAAAGTGATCCAAGTTAGCTTAACGAAGTTGGACGGAGCACAAAAGTTTTTCGATTCTAGAGCGAAAAGAAAATTGAGATCTCTAGAGTCGATACTTCATCCACAACTGCAGCCCTGCAACCATAAAACTGTCATTTACGCAATGGGTTCTCCGAACCACTCCACCGCAAAGTCATGCCACGAAAAGCAAGCCTAACTCGTTGTCGCCATGTCCCGCCTTGGAGTGCGACACTATGACGCACGAGGTTGGCGTGGATACGTGTTCCAGAAAATGCACTTATTTAGGGTTCTCCAACGGTCAGTTACAGGCCGGCCAGAGCTGCAGAGCCAGGGTAAGCAGGGATCGCGTTACACCATTACGGTGGCACCATAAGCCTTCCAGTGAATATTATCCGCTGAGCGGGCATTGCACGACTGGGTTGGTCCGCTCAGGCTTCACACAACAAGCCATGCTTGACCAGTCCTCGGACGCCAAACCTGTCTACAAAACAAGCAAACTCATGAACGAGTGTAATGGGCCTCCCGCGCCATGTTCTGTGAATACATAGTGTTGCATGCGTAATATCACGTAATGAAATGCATACGAGTTCCCCTGGCATTCCACTGGTGCATTTCCCTTCCATAACGCACAACTGTAAGCCAGAACTTTGCGGACGTATTGCTGTGTACTGCAGGCGCATTGCTGTGTGCTGCAGGCGTACTGTTGTGTAATCCAGGCGTATTGCTGGGTACTGCAGGCGTATTGCTGTGTGCTGCAGACGTATTGCCAAGTGTTGCGTGCGTATGGGGAGCCGGGACCGACTGACGCCTCATCAAACTAGGCCCTTGGCTTCGTTTCATGAAGCAAAACCATGGAGGTTCGCGTCTCAAATTTGTGCGATATTTGCATTGGGGGGGGGGGGGACAGGTCGATTTAATTTGCGTGCTTACTTTGCGAACCATCCTTGGACAAGATGTGCCAGTAAGCAACGTACGTTGTAACTATCTCACGACATGAGAGAAATGCGTAGTTTCTACTTGATATAACAGACCTTCAGATTTCTTTTTTTCAGGATTATGGTAGCTGTCGACTTTCAATTTTGTTTTTGAGCGCTCATGCAACCCCCTGCGATTGCAAGTTGGTGGCAGGCGTTCGTGGCCGCAGCCGTCTCTCCCATGCGCTGGACACACTGAGGTAGCGCAATGGGGCTGGCCTGGGTCGGGTCGCTGGCCTGGGTTCACTCGCTGGCCTGGGTTCACTCGCTGGCCTGGGTTCACTCGCTGGCCTGGGTCGAGTCGCTGGCCTGGGTTCACTCGCTGACCTGGCTTCACTCGCTGGCCTGGGTCGAGTCGCTGGCCTGGGTTCACTCGCTGACCTGGCTTCACTCGCTGGCCTGGGTCGAGTCGCTGGCCTGGGTTCACTCGCTGGCCTGGGTCGAGCCGCTGACCTGGGTTTACTCGCTGGCCTGGGTTCGCTCGCTGGCCTGGGTCGAGTCGCTAGTCGGGTACAGAAGCTTTTATGGCTGCAGCCTTGCACGCAACCGTCCTAAACGTGGGCAATCGGCTCTGTGTGCTGCCAGTCTGTACTTACCACGAGTGTCTTATCCTTATTACGAACAATGCAGCAGGCCGGACGAATCTCAACGTCGACTAAGTGAAAAAGGCGTGCACTCATCGGCTGGTTACGCTGTTGGCGACGTAATATCTTGGAAACCATTGATCACACCGCCATGAACTTTGCAACAACATATGGCATGAGTCTTTGGGATCCGTGCCATATTGTTTGTCAGGCACTTAGCCGTATGCTGCGTGATTGGTCAGGTGGTGGAAATCAGCAGGTTATGCATGATCAACACGATCAACATGGGAAACATCAATTTCCAAGGCGCGAAAAGGCTCACCGGTTTGCGTCGGATGTGGGCTCCGAGCCCGGCGAACGGGCGTCGCAGTGGGATGCGTCCTACGAACACGGCGGACAGTGGGATGCGTCATGCGAACACGGCGGACAGTGGGATGCGTCATACGAACACGGCCGAGGAGAAAACGGACAGGCGTCGCAGTGGGATGCGTCATACGAACACGGCGTCGCAGTGGGATGCGTCATACGAACACGGCGGAGGAGAAAACGGACAATGATGCTAGCAAGATTGGAGGTCGATGTGTTGCAACTCAGTGGTGCGCAAACCATGGATGCACTTTTAAGCGTCTTTAAAGCTGTATATCGGGCCACGGAAACCAGAGCAGACAGACGTAAAACCAGCTGTGCGATGAAGGTGAACACACCGTCTACAAATCACGAACACGCGCTCGGGTAGGGGTGAATTTGATCCG